GTATTCTTTCTATTTAATGAGGTATTCTTCTTTATCCGTGAATAGATTATATATTCATAGGATTTATTCCACTTTAAATTCTATTTCTTCCTCTAGCTAGTGATAGAAGGTGGTCTTGACTAGTGTATCCTAGTCTACTAGTTCTAATAGTGACACGTGGAATACTAGATGTATATTCGCGTCTAGTGGTAGTTCTAGTCTGTAGTTTACTAGTAATATTTGTTCGGAAATGTAAAATGGTCCAACCTTAATATAATCTAGTTTCTTGTGTTTTCTCTTCTAAGTATGAAGATTCTTTATAAGTAGATATACTTTATCCCCTTTCTCTAGCTAAGGTGCCGTTTTACGTTTTTAGTTTATATAGGAAATTACTTACTATTAAGCTTTCTTAAGGTTCTCTTAGAGTTATTTATATATTTATTTTATATTTTCTACCATGTCTGTGGCTTCTTTTACTTTAATATTCGTAGGAAGTATCTAATTAAAGAGATGTAGGTAACGTACCTAGTAAGCGAGCGGCGTAGGTAAGCGAGTGGCGCACCCCACTAACTTTTCGCGACGCGTCACCTATTAATTATAATGGATTAACCAACCACTATTTAATTACGCTATAATAAAGCTTATATATCTCTAGCTATCACAGCTATTAATTAGAATTAATTATAAAGTGGAAGGCGCGCTACTGTAATATATAGAGTCTCTAAAACCACGCTTCGCCGCTAACGCGCTGGAATCACTACGCGACGTGATTGTGAGCCCAATTTAAAGAAGCTCACTAAGCTAGAAGAGGAGGTGATTACTAGGTATATACTTAACCTAGATTCGTGAGGGTTTTCGCCTACCCTAGATGCTGTTCGAGATATGGCAAATAGACTACTCGCTGAGCGCGGCGCTGGCCAAGTAGGCGAGAAGTGGCTATGCAACTTTGTCAAGCGGATAGAAAGCCTTACCATACGTTTCAACCGACTATATGATTAATAGAGAGCTCTATGTGAGGATCCTAAGGTAATTAGGGCCTGGTTCGACCTTATAGCGCACATGAAAGCTACCTATGGGATCTGTAATGAGGATACCTACAACTTCAACGAGACTGGCTTTATGATAGGTAGGATATTAGCTTAGCTTATTGTCATAGGCTTAGAGCGATGAGGCAGGCCAAAAGTGTTACAGCTAGGCGATTGTGAGTGGATTACAGCAATTTATGGAATTAATGCTGCTGGCTGGGTGATCCCGCCCTTTATTATCTTTACTGGCCAGTATCACCTCTCTACCTGGTATAAGGATAATGATATACCACGTAACTGGGCTTTCGCAGTTAGCAATAATAGCTGGACAATAAATAAGCTTAGAGTAGAGTGGCTGAGGCACTTTATTAAGTATATAGTAGAGCGTAGGGTAGGCGCGTGCCAGCTACTTATACTTAATGGCCATAAGAGCTATAACTCACTCGAATTTCAAGCACTCTATAAGGAGAATAATATCTATACTCTTTATATGCCGCCACATTCGTTACACCTCCTATAGCCACTTAATGTTGGCTGTTTCTCGCCGTTGAAGCGCGCATACAGCCGCTAGATTAAGGGCCTAATTCGCGATTATATTAACCATATCACTAAGCTAGAGTTCCTACCAGCCTTCTACGCAGCCTATAACTAGTTAATTATAAAGGAGAATATCTGCGTAAGCTTTTAAGGCGCTGGCCTAGTATCGTATAATCCTGATAGGGTGATAGTGAAGCTTAATGTGAAGCTTTGTACGCCAACGCCGCCTGTACTAGAGACTACCCTCTGGGAAGTGTGAACACTAAGCAACGCGCGTGAGCTAGAGGCTTAATTAACATTAATACGCGATAGGATATAGAGGCATGGAAGCTCATTACCTACATCTATTATTGAGAGACTTAATCAGCTTGAGAAAGGCTCTACAATGGCAATGTACGAAATAGTATTAATGCGTAATTGGATTAAGAGCCTTGAGAAAGCAAATGAGACTGCTATAATACGTAGAAAGCGTAAAAAGAAGTGTATCTAGAAGTAAGGCACCCTATTAAAGGCAGAGGCAGAGGAAATTATAGCTCAAAATGAGGTTGAGTAGTAGCTTAAGGGGGAAACGCGTTAAGGTAGGGCGTAATTAGGTACTAGTCGGCAGGCTTCCGCGCGCTGTAGGCACTATAGGGAAACTGGCCATAACTCACAAACATGTAAGAAGGATACTAGAGATGTAGCTTAATTTAGCATAATGCGTATATTCTATTATTTTATCTTATTATTAAGATAGATTCCTATAAAGTAGTGAAAAGTTGGTGGGGTGCGCCGCTTGCTTACCTACGCCACTCGCTTGCCAGGTACGTTATTATCTATAATTTACGTAGTAAGGTGTATACTTTATTATTACTAATACCTTATTATTATACGCGAGTTGTGCCATAGGTAGTAATAAGACCTAGTTATTTTTCTAACTATTATAATATATTTGGAGATATGTTTCCATAGTTTAGTTTATTCTTTCTATTTTCCCATCCGTCTATGGATGATAGGCTATTAATA